ATATCTGGATAAAACGTAAATACTACTTTATGGCTCTTGTACACATGTATAAAGGATTTTCATGGTCCATACCGTATATACACGCGTATACCAAAATGTAATCGATGGAAGCAACCCACAGAGTCGTTTCTCCAAACGTAACACACACCATTTGATACAATTTTCTAGATCTCTTAGTCGAAACAAATTCAAGTCATTTCTCATGGCGTTGATACGAGAACGATCTAAACTCGCGACTTCTCAAGGCTATTCATCTTCGAAGACGAAGCTAAAACGCGACGTGCAAAATACTTTGTCTCTACCCCTTCAACCCCAACTATTCCCTCTTCACTCCCACCCTCTTTCTCGCTCTCTCTCATTTTATTTCTTTTCGTCATTCTTTAAGAAAAAAAAAAAAAAAAAAAAAAAAAAAAAAGCAAAAGTTTTTACAAACTGCAAGTAAATCGAGATTGATGGAAACAGATGTTGCATATTCACAACGTGCATTCGTCGTAAATACGCAAATGTGTGTATGAATAATTGCATACACATACATACATACGTGTATGGATAAAATGAAACGAAAGGGAGAAGGGTGGGGGAGGAGGGAGGGGCTTGGATAAGGTAAAGAGTGTAGGATATTATTATTTCGTCTAAATATTTCTTCGGTAAACGCGAGATAACGAGCAACGGCAATCCAAGTTGATAGGGAACGAGGAGCTAGTAATTATACGCGCGTACCCTTTTAGAGAACGACGAAAGCGACGTCATTGAAAATCGCACGGATCTCGATCCGGGATTATTTTGCTCGGCACGTTACTATTTACTTTACATTAGGTCGATGTACGAGACTCGAAAACGCGAACGGTAACGATACAGCTAACGTACGCGAAAGCTGTCCAAATACGCGTCACCGCATGGGATGAGAAAACGTGACGATAAATCGATAAAGTAGAATGAGAGAGAGAGAGAGAGAACGAGAGATAAATAGATAGATGGATATAGAGAGAGAGAGAGAGAGAGAGATGAGAGAAAGCAAGTTACATCGCCCGCGGCGGCTTGGTTTGATTTTTATTACATTTTCATTTTTCCATCTCTCCGTTTGCGCGTACACGCTCAACGAACGGAATGAAAAAAGGAAAAGGGATATAATAAAAATAAAAAAAAATAAAAACGGAGAGAGAGAGAGAGAGAGGGAGAGAGGGAAAAAAAAAAAAAAAAAAAAAAAAAAAGAAGAAAAAAAAAGAAATGGAAGGGACTCGGTGCAACGACCTTTGCACTTTCGAGATTATTTATTTTACGAGAGAAAACGACATCGGCGACGACGACGGCGATGACGACGACGACGAATCGAATGGCGATTTTATTTATTCCCTAACCAACCAACCAACCAACCAACTACCACCACCACCCCTCCTACCCCTCTCTATCTCATTTTGCATTTGTGCTTGCCAATTATTTTCCTATGTATAAATTATAAAATCGTCTACGTTGTATTAGAAGTTGGTTGGGGTGTGTTGAACGCGTCAAGCGTTTTCTAACGTACGGAAAACACGTACGGAAAACGCGTACGGTAAACTTCCCCCCCCCCTCCCGATCGAGAATAATATTCTCTTTTTTTTCTTTCTATTATTCGCATAACTACCGACGAGTTTGATCTCACGAAAAGTAAATTTAGGAAGCCGTCTGGACGGCCAGAATAAAAGCTGAGTCAGGTTGAAATTATCGAACTCGTCAAAGCACCCCGTCGTTAACTCGATTAATCTCACTTTGCTGGTAATTATGAATTTTATAATAATAATAATAATAATAATAATAATAATAATCTCTTTCCCTCTGTACCTAACCCTCTCCCATTCAGCCACTCTTTCACGAACGAGAAGTAGCTACTAATTTTATATTATAAACGGATGGTGGTCCTCGCCAAGAGAGGGACGATATCGCAATCATAAATCATTAAAGCGAGAGTAGGTATCCCTCTTAATTTTACGAAGTACCAACCGTTCAATTCGAATTTTATCGAGCAAGATTTAACGAGGTTGAATTCGTTGGTATACGCGGGTGCGCGCGCGCAAAAGTACTTTTTTCTTTTTTTTTTTTAGCTCGTTACGTCGCTTCGTTTTCCCCCCATAGCATAGCAGAGTTAGCTGATAATATCAACGAAAGAAAATCTGCAAGCCGGCCAAAATCCAACCTGGAATTTCACGTGTCACGGGTTAGTCGTCGAGTTTTCCATGTATAATAATTCAGCTTGTATCGTGAGTAATCCGTACAAGCTCGCTCGCTCGCTCGTATGTTCGTTCGTTCGTTACGTATTACGAAGACGACTATGGTGACGTTTGTAGTGGTAGGTAGTAATAGTGGTGTATGGTGGATAGTGATAGAGGGGAATAGTAGTGGGGGAGACATAAATTAAAGCCAATTTTCACGCGAGGGAATACGATAGGGCACGCGTGTGCCGCGTACAGCTTTTCCACTCGAAAATTCTACTCCCGGAAAAATAGCTATAGGTGTATATATCAACCTCGGACATTATACTGCAGTTATATCGGAGATTCTCTCCGACAAATTTCACGAGGATTTTTCTTTCTTTTTTTTTCTTTTTTTTCTTCCCTACTTTTCCAACTGCTCGATTCGTTGACGTCATTCTTCCTTTTTTTTTTTTTTCTTATTCTTTTTCTTTTTTCTTCTTTTTACGATTTTATAAACGGACGACGAATATTTTGCGTATATATATATATATATTTAGTTTTTATTTCATCCTTCGTTTCCTTCTTTTTTTTCGTTAGTTTTGTTTTCTTTTTCGGAAGAAAAAATTGTTAGAAAAATTCGACTACATTTTTGGAATAACGTATTACGTTAAAGTTAAATTTGTATGTGTGTATGTATGTATGTAGACGAGGAAGCTCTAAAGAGAGAAAGAAAGCCGAATACAGTTTCCGGAGTGTCTGCGAAGGGTGGGTGCGGTCGGTGGTAAGATGGATGCCCGCACTTACCAACTGACTAGAGATCCTTTCTCCTTCCTGTAACATCCCTACGAAAAGGGCCAGAGAAAACGCATTCTCCGAGTTAGCTCGCGAATTCCCCCTTTAGATCCATACACCACCCCTTTCTACTATTTTAAATTCGTCCAAGTTTTAGTAAATTTACTCTGAATAGTCTTTTCGTTTGTTTTTCAGCCCGTCACCCTGGAAAAAAAGAAAATCAAAAATCCCGAATTTTTCCTCGACTTCTCGTCGTTTCAATCATCATAATGTTACTACTCTTTACGAGATAAATGATCACATTGATCGGCTAGATAAGATTATTTCAAGTTCAAACAAATTAATTGACACTAATTTCCGATGAGTCACTTCGTTCACGGATCATCTCGCGGCTAGAGGAAGTTTATCGAGGTTTCGCGTATACACGAGCAAATATATACACACGTACACAGAGAAACACATTTACGCGGATACACGAATAGCGTAATGTTCGAATAGATCAATACGTTTTCGGAGAAACACGACTAGTTAGTAGTTCTCGTACATATGTCAACGTGTTTCGTCGAAGTAGGACGATTAAATGGGGTCCCATAGCTGTTAGCTATTTTCTAAGTACTACATAAACTCAAACCCTTTCCTGTAATCTATCTAATCCTTTATCAACGAATTTCACGGTCCGTTTGATTATCTATCACCAAAACTAAGAGAGTACTATATAGCAATCGCTAAATGTTATCTTTTTAATTAATCTTTCAATTCCGTGTTAAAAATTTGTTCTCGTTGATTTTAATTTTACAAAAATTTTCTACAAATTCTCTAACAAAAATATATTATAGATATCGTAATAATCTTTATGTATATATATATATATAAATACTCTTGTATTTTTCTATAATAATTGTAAAAATCCAAATTTAAACGGTCACGTTAAATAACCGATAAAATACAATAGGTAGAGTAGGTAGGTATCTGTCGAAATTTTGTTAACTACAAAGTTCTATAACGAAAACGTTGAATACACGTAGTCGTCGTAAAATCGTTAAGCTTAAAAGAAGCTGACCAAAGTAACTATTTTGTTAGTGAAATATATTGTCGGGAAAATTCTCAATGGTGAAATCGACGATGGGGGAAACGACCGGTTGCTCGTGATATCTAACAACGAATCGTACATACATACATACATGAAAATACTCGACGACTCGTAGAGAACATCGTCGGGGTCAGAAAAAGAGAAAACGAGAGAACGAGAGAGAAAGAGAGAGGATGATACGAGGAACGGCGGAACAGGGCTTCGCAGTTGGAAAATTTACAGCGGCGAGAGTTGAAATTGCGAGCGTAGAAATTCCGTAACAATAGCCTGCGGCCCAGTTTTTGGATGATCAAATAATGGTTCGTGTTTAATCTTACGAGAGGAAAGAGATTACTTTCTCGTAACATCCCGAATTTAATACGCGAAAAAAATAATCGACGTGAAAGCATCCTCTCCACCCTTCCCTCCTCCACAATCCACCACCCCTTCTCCTCCTCCTCCTCTTCCTATACCTCTCCACCCCTTTTTCCTATGTTATCCATATCTAGCCCCGGTGGATTAATAGTAAGGATTTTAATTTTCGCGATGTATTCTGTTTTCGCAAGTTCGTTAAAACTGTGCTACTCCACGGTGCTATGTATTTCAACGTATATCACTTGGGAGAATATCGTCTCTCGATCGCCCACGAGAATTCTTACAACTTTTTTCCTCATCCCTCCCCACCCCACCCTCCCGTGAATTTTTTTCTTTCTTTTTAATTATTCATTTATTTATATACATTATGATAAAACAAGAAGAATACGCGAATATAATATCGAAATATTATAAATATTATATATATGTGACGAATTTTTAAACTGAATACAAAATAAATTCGTTCCAAACGTTAAGTTTTAATCTTTTATTCTCAATTTATTTTCGTATAAATGGAAAAGTTAAACGAGAATATTAAAAAACACAAAATAACAGCAAACGAATAAAAAATAATCTAATATATATATTTATAGCAATAAATAATTAATATATTTTCTGAACGACTGTGGACTTCGATGAAGAAAGGATTGGCACGAATGGAAGGAAAATCGTCGATTAATATCTAAACGAGAACGACCGTAATGGTGCCGAGCAAGTCCGCGGTCCCGTGGACCCTGAAAAACGGCCAAACTTTGGCAAATATTTTTTCTCGGTGCGTCGTACTCGCCCTATCTCCTGGACGTTCTTTAATTAATTACCGCGGTAAGCGTAGAGGTAAAGAGGGTGTGGGTTGGCGGTAGGAATGGGAGCAAAAAAGGGGGAGGGGGGCTTGTGTTCGGGGGTGAAAAAGCTCTACGAGGGAGGAATACGATAGAAGAAGTGGAAGATTAACTGGGAGGACGAATATAAAGACAAAAAAAAAAAACAAAAAGGATGCGGAAAAAGGGCTCGATAGAAGAGAAAATAGAAATGGACGATGACGAAGTTGGGGAAAAAGGAACAGGGTTGTGAATGATAATAAACGGGTGATACGTTTACTTTTGCGAACGAAAAAAGAGTTTCAACACATTTAAACGATAATTCGACCTACCTGTTCTATCGTTATCTCGCATCCCTCCCCCTCTCCCCACTCCTTCAACATTTTTCTAAATAATATACGAGGATGGTTTGCATAGCTTCGAGTAATAAATCAAAAGAAATTTTTCTTATAGCTTTCAAATAAAAGTGAATTTATATAATTGAGAAAACAAAATATCTTTAATTCTTATAATATATTCTTGAATTATTTTTTTTTTTTTATATCCTATGGCAAATTCTTTGATTATAACTTTATAATAACGGATCTACCATACAATCACACCATATAGCGAAGATTTTCTAATCAAATTTTATAAATTAAACGTAGAAATTGTTTCAAGAATGAATATTAAAGAGTAAAGACGTTCTCGAGTAATAAAAAAAAAAAAATCATGCTTCGCGTGTGATAGATTTATAGTCTTTTTTTCTCTTTCTCTATCTCCGTTTATCTCACTTTTCTTTTCATTTCTTTTCCGATCTCTTCCTGTTTGCCAAAGACACGTAGAAGAGAGAGAAAGAGGAAGAATCTCGTAATACTCTTAATATTCCACACTGACAAGCTTTTAATTTCCGTTTCTTTCAAGTATCATACTACTCTCTCTTTCTCTTTCTTTACGCGATACAAAAAGAAATAGAAGAAGAAGAAGAAGGAGAAAAAAAAAAGGAGAGAAATTGCAAAGTCGTAAACTTCGTTGGTTCATTTCTCGACACTTCACACGCGATACTTCCTTCATTAAAAACGTTGCTTCTATCAACGCCCATTGCGTTTGTGGAACTAATATTAAATTAAAAAAAAGAGAGAGAAATATAGAAAGAAATAGAATCACAAAAAAGAAAAAAAAAAAAACAAGAATACAAGAACACAAATTCTTACATTTTCCGTTCCTATTTACCGTAAACGCATACTCGACACTCGGTAAAATCGGTAATGCATTTTCTAGTAATTACAATATAATAATAAAATAATTTAAACGATCATTTACAATTGGTAATATATTTATTCGTACTTCTATCAACGCCCATTGCGCGTTTGCGAAACTCTAATATAATAATAAATTATTAATTAAAGACAAAAAGAGATAAAACACAGAGAAAAGAAAAAAAAAAAAAAATACAAAAATTTATACTAATTACAAAACCTACAAAAAAAAAAACTACTTTTGTAAGCTAACAACTAGTAAAATCAGGACTGTAATTTAATAATTACGGATGATAATGGAAGGGTTAAAACGATCATCCGGACTTCATAATAAGTATTATTTTTCAAATGCATCTTTACACGCGTATAGTAGTAGTAGTAGTAGTAGTAGTAGTAGTAGCAGCAAGCAGAATGTTGTTATTTGCCAGAGTTTGTAGTAGGAAGATATTCGTTAAAAGAATCGCGAGAGGATGTATGTGGTTATGACGCAAACATAGAAAGAAAGAAAGAGAGAGAGGGGGGAAAGGAGTAAGGGAAAATGGGAGGGAAGGGTGGTAGAGAAGCACGCTTGAACACAGACAAGAATGCTCTTTCAAATGTCTAATTTTGTACTCGGCTGACCAAGAGTGGAAGGAAAAAGACAAACTAACAATAAGAACAAGAGGCTACTACTGGAGTGGTAGAGAAAGGTACCGTAGAAACGAGAAAGAAGGTAAAGGGTAGAGAAATAGAAATGGGAAAAATGGAGAAAGGGGCTTGTAACATGGTCGGAGAAAACTGAGGACAGAAAGAAAAAGAAAAAAAAAAACATAGTAAGAGAGAGAGAGAGAGAGAGAGAGAGAAAACAGCTTGGGAAGCGAGCGTGTAGCACGAGTCGAGTCTAATGAACGAATGAGGTCTCTGAGAAAAAGAAAAGAGAAAAAAAATATATATATAAAAAGAAGTAAAACGAGAAAGAAATAAAAAAGAAAGTCCCACGTCACTTTTGCGGTCAGTTACTTCCCACCCTGTATGTTCTCTTCTTTCTTTCTTTCTTTCTTTCTCTCACTCACGACTACTACTCCTCCACTCTTTTATTCCACCCCTTACTTTCATCCTTACTTTCTTTCTCTATCTCTATCTCTGTCTTTGTCTCTGTCTTTGTCTCTGTATCTGTCTCTCTCCCTCTCTCTCTCTCTCTTTCTATGGAAACTTCACCGGTTGAGGAAAATTTTCAGGAGGCAAGAAGAAAAGTCGTCTAGCTTTTCGTCTTCAGTGCCACGGTACGACGCGAAATGTACTTTTTCTTTCTTTCTTTTTTTTTTTTTTTTTTTTTTTTTTTTTTTTTATTAAGGTCATCCACGAAATTAAGAAGCTGCCAAGTGTTTTAAAGAAATTTGTCGAACTATGCTATTTAACTTTATTGTGTCTCTTTTGCTGCTTTTGCTTTTCCATCTTATACTATTATTTTCTTATTTTCTTATTTTCTTATTTTCTTATTTTCATTCTTTCTTTTATGCTTCTATTTTCTTATATTTTTATAACCTTTCTTTCTTCGTAATTTTTATTAAATCTAATACGCACAAATGCAAACACGACTGTAATAATATAATATGAAAACTAACAGAGAAATATATTTTACAGATATGATCGATGCAATAATAATAATAATAATAATAATAATAATAAAAAAGATTGAAAGAAGATCCCGTAAGAAAAGGTGGCAAAGTGACTTTTTACAACTGATCGAAGATTCTTAACGAGTTGGATGAAAAAAAAAAGGGAAGAAACGAATCGATGGATTGCAGGGAATCAGAAGAAAAACGTGTCCACCATAAGAGAGAGAGAGAGAGAGAGAGAAAGGGAGAGTAAAAGATTGAACGTGGTGCGGAAGCTTCGATTAGGTTCAATTAGGTGACAGGAACGGTCTAGCTACGTTCAGGAATTTACGAAGGGTCAAAGTGGTGAATGAAGAAACGAAGAGAAAAGAGAGGGAGAGAAAAGAGGAGAAAAGAGGAGGAAAAAGGAGGACAACGACATTGACGGGGAACACCAAGGAAAAGGAACAACACCGAGGCACGTCGTCAAATGAACCGAGCAAATGAGGAAGCTTCGTGTACGGGAACGATTGTCGATGGAAGAAGTCTTCTTAGTTTTCTGCTTCTCATCCGGCACGTCAATGAAGTCACCGGGTCGCATGATCGATTATCGGATCCCTTTCTCCTCTTCTCTCTCTCTCTCTTTCTCTTTCTCTGATCCATCACGACTTCTTTCTCTCTCACTTTTCTCCTTTTTCCTTAGCCGGATTTACCCAAAGAACAGAGATTTCTATCTTCTTACACGCGTCTTCTTATTTTTTTCTTACATCGATTATTACTTTCTTTAAACGCGTCAAACATTGAAATTTTGTGATCAAAACTTTCAATAATTCTAACGACAGATACGATATAATATTTACATTAAATATTTTCTAATATTTACAACTCCTTCTTCTTTCTTTTTCTTTTTCTCTTTTCTTTTTGGTACTGATACTTTAAAATCTTACAACGATTGAAACCTTTTTCTAATTTCCCTAACTCAAAGTTATAACTTATAACTTTTTTAATGATATTCGATAAGATTTGTACACTACATATATATACATACATAAATAAATGTATACACCAATGAGTCCTTTGAAATATACAACATCACGATACTCAACATTTTATCGAAAGACCAACGAACAAGAGTTCAATGTATTCAATCATGGTTTCTGATAATATTACTAAACTATCAAATAATGTAATTAATCACGCAATGTGTGTAATTCTCAATTTCGACAAACTATTTCACCTCTTCACCACTCCCTCCCTCTCTCTCTCTCTCTCTCTCTCTCTCTCTACCTCTCCTCCATCGAATTCTCTTTTTGTCTACGTTTATTTGGTAAAATTAATTGCAACAGAATGAAGGCTACACTTAGCAAGGATTCCACTCCATTAGCTGGTCACTACTATACGTAATGACGTTCGAGAAGTAACCTTAATGAGTTTCAACTTCGTGGGAAAACATACGAAAAGAGAAACGGTAATCCAATTATGGATAATTATCTAGGAAAGAGAAAAAGAGAAAGAGAAAGAGAGAAAGAGTAGAAGGCATGTTAAAAAGAGTTGGGGACATCGTGCTGGCACCGAACGAGTTATCGAGTGATTAAAAATACTTTCTCGTGGTCGGAAGTTTGCTCGCGTGTAACCCAACGTCTAACTCTCCCTTACTGTTCGATCTACTACTTCGTGAGAACACCCTTCTAACCATTCCCTATTCCTCCCCCATCCCTTATCCCCCTTTCCACTCCCACTCATCCACTCCCACTCGTCCACTCTTTGGTTCACCCTTTTGCAGACTTTTTTCACTCTCGTAGACTTAAACAAACGCGAAACAGCTAACCCTTCCTCTTCTTCAACGAGTACATAAGCAAGCCGAGCTTTGGCACGAGAAGCCCATAAAGTGTAATTAATCATAAGGCTAAAGCATAAATACATATTCTAGGTATTATTCGGACGTCACAACAACGCCCTTTTTATCTTCTTAATGTTTCTGAAACTTTGTACTCGTCTACTCGTTAAGCGAAGATACCTTTGTTATCTTCTTTTTCCTCTTCTAACTCACTCACTCCCTCTCTATCTCTATCTCTCTAGTTTTCTCTATTTCTCTTCTATTTCTTTTATCTTTTTTTACACTTTTTCACTCTTTATTAAATGGAGAGATAAAGACAGCGGTGATTAATTATGTTGACAGAAACATAGATAACAGCTAGCTCGTTATCGAATATTTCATAGACTCTTATCATTTCCTCCCTAATTATTATTAAATATATATTTCGATAACGATAATGTATCATTTTTTTTTCTATTTCATTTTTGAATATTAATCAATTTGTTATTATATTATAGTAATGATTATTTTCAACGCGCGAATGATCTTAAGTTAATAAATAAGTACAACAGTTTTCTCCAAGCAGGATAATGCAGATAACGATGGGTTCAGTTTTGTTTATTAATGGAATATCCCGATAAATGGTAAAATCACAGTACAATTTACGTATATACTGGAGAAACTTACCTTCACCCGTTAGTACAGACGAGATGTTCCCTACAAGCACGACAAGCTCGTCGGTAAAGCAGAGGGGATGAAACCGTCGGTACGAGGATCACGTGGGTAATGAAGAACTCGAGCCCTATTTTCTTATATTAGCTGTAGGATCCAATTTTTGTGTACAACCCTCGAAAATGTAAATTAAAGAAAATAAAAAAGAAAAATAATAATAATAATAATAATATTAAGAAAAAAAGGAATCACCTCTTCGATGCAATTATTTGATTTTATCATTCGTAAACTGGATATTGGTTTAAAATGAATGAGAATAATAACGACGACGAATATATTTTATTTCCTTTTCACTTTATTCTCCAACGATAAGAGTCTTGTGTTCTTTAATTGATACGAATAATTAGAAAAAAAAAAAAAAAAAAAAATAGGATAATTGCAAGATGAGAATCTTAAATTTCATTTCATTAATTAAATCGTACCGCTCGAGAATCAAACTTGTCCATCCACACTTCGGCCACGCCATTCTTTTTTACGACGAATAAAATTCGTAGGAATCGGAAAAGATAGGTGTGTGGCAACGTCGTATTATGATAGATCAAATCAATGACACATTTAACATATAATTAATATGTAATAGAATAACTATATGTGCGTTTGAAGAATAAAATCCTGTGCTATAGGTGAGAAAAATAATGTGCATTAACGAGGGATGATAAAACAACGGGTGTCAACGTGCATGATCAACGACGATCGTTCAAAGGACGTTCTCTTTTCCATCTTTGTATGACGATAATGTTTTAAAATAAAAATTGTGCATCGGACGAGCGATTCTATAATATTATCGTGTTTAAAAAGAAAAAAAAAACATGAATAATATTATAAAATATGTGCGATGTAGACGAACGAGAAAGAGAGAGAGAGAGAGAGAGAGAGAGAGAGTCGTGCAAAAATTGACGATACGAAATATCGGAAAATAGATGGTTTTTTATTCCCGATAGGATGCATTTCAAAAACAACCAAAAATCACTTTGGCGAAATAATTTGTAATAAAAGAAGGGGAAAATTTATGTATTAAACTTTACATACTTTCTTTTTTTATACTACCTCGTTAAAAATTCAAAAAAAAAAAAAAACAAAAAAAAAGAAAATAAAACTTCAACTTTGGCATCTATCGGAACGATTACGCTATTTACGCGCGTATTGTGTGTGCGTATGTATGTGTAATAAAATATGCGTTCGTGACGCGTACGCGCGCGATATTTATGAAGAACCATGAGCGGTTCGTTCGTTGAGTGAATATTTTTTCTCCTTTCTTCTTTCTTCTTTTTCTTTTTTTTTCTTTTTTTTTTTTTTTTTTTTGAAAAAAAAAAAAGTGTATACGTCAAACGAAAAAAGAAGAAGAAGATAAAACAACAATGAAACAAAAGCTGTTGGTTGTAAAAGCATGCGGGCGTATTCGAAAAGAACGAAAGATTGTTTATGTTGCACATATCCATTCATACGTGCATACAACACCATATACACAAAAGAGAAAGAGATGCATAGTACCATGTGTACACGTTCAAAGTCCCGTAACTTTATTGTTAGATAATTGATACCCTCTTTTATCGTTGCACATATGTATGCGTTTACGTACATGAGTGTATAAATTACGAATGCGTATACCTTGTATATCGTCTTCTTTGTGGTAAAACTTATCTTGTCGACTTAAAAGACGTTATATACGCTAAACAATCGACATATAAATAGCCTTGTTTAAAGATAAATAACAAAATCATTTCATTTATTTCATTTTTCTCTTCGATATCTAATCGCAAACGATTACTGTACTTTTAATATAATTATTTTTCATAATTATTATTTAATGATTTCATTTCAATGACTCTGACAAATTTTAATTAAATGATAGAAATTTTCTTTTCTATTTTTTTTTTTTTTTCTTTGAGAAAGAGAGAAAATTACAAACAAATGAAATGAAATTCAAATAAAATATTCTATCATAAGTATTACAAATATTTCCTGTATTATTTCATCTTAATAATATAGTTTTTAGGTATTCGTGTATACGCAGAAAAATAAATTGAATGATTCTGCGAAAGAAAATAAATATGTTTGTCGTCGAAATAAACGAGTGTGACGATTGATATAAGATAAAAGGGTTGATTTAAATTTGATGCTAATCTAAACGTAACTGAGACGTAAGTTCTTTGTTAACGTACGAGAAGAAAAGAAAAATATAATAATCATGAAGAGATTAAATAGAAAATGAATGTACATACATACATGCAATACGTTGATACATTTAGATAAGCTAGCATCCCCCAAACCTAAGGGATGATTGTGTATGATAGGTACGCACCTGTATTTAAAAGATTCGATCGTTGGTTGATCAGTCCTGTAATCAAAAATGAAAAAATTTCATTAGTTAATGTTTAACAACAACCAATTGTTAAAAACTCAACACTGTCTTATAATACTTTATATTAAAAAAAAAAAGAAAACGAAATTACTCTCCGAACAACCTAACATTTCCTAAAAATTCTATTATTTATACAATAAAACATATTTATTTAAATTCCTAAGAAAAAAAAATAAATTTACATATTTCTATTCTTATACATATATTTATAATTATATTAAAATATATTAATTTGATTTCAAAAAATTATGATGTTATATAAATTTTTAATAAAGAATAGTATAAAAATCTCTAAATATGATTTCAACACGAAATGTATAAATTAATATATTAATAAATAAATTTAAATATATATTACTTTTATAAAAAAAATACGAATCCCATATATATTCCTCCAATTGAAATTACTTCTCAATTACAATAAAATTCGAAAGGAAATAATTGCGTGGATAAGATACTCGAATAAATTTTACGTACGTACACACGTATATCACACCAATAAGCTCGACGATACGAACGATTCGGAGGACAAAAACTGACTGTTTATCTATGGTCGTTGGTAGATCTCGTCGTCAAACTTTACTAGAAACTTTTTTCGAAAATGTAAACACGACATCTATATCGACAAGTATGTATCCTAGATACAAAGACGAGAAACGTACATAGTATGGAATCAACCGTCTCTGAGGTAACATTTACACGTATAACTCCCCCTCTTCCACCCTTTCTCGATTTCGTCTCGTACCTTGCTTGCATCCGATTTGTATTCGCCTCTCGTCTTTTATTATACATATCTTGCAAGCATGTGCCGGAAGGTAATTGAAACGTTGAGAAAATAGATGGGGAAGGGAACGAGGATGGGGGGGGGGAGGGGGAACGGTATAGCAGTAACTGCTACGATTTTATAAGACGATAAAGTCTATCGCGTGTTATATGCTATGTTTTAAGCCTAAGAAAATGAAACTGAAAAGAAATAAACTCATTTTCTCTGCATGCATTTGTGCATAACACTTACACGCCATACACGTAAGTAACTCGCTAATCAATTTATGTGTGTGTATATACATTTTTTATTGATAAAGTAATTAACTTTATATGTATACTGATAACGTAATTAACTTATATTGATAAATTATTAGATTCATATATGTATGTTAATTACTTTATCAATATACGGTAATTAAAAATATGGATTACACGCATCATGAGGGTATATTAATTTGACTAATAAGTAAGGATAAATTTCAACGAAATTTAAATTTTTAACGAAAACTTTGTTTTTGTGTAAGATTCAAGAGATTTTTCTAGCCTCAACTCACGTAGAGTGGTTCCAAGTATATATCAAATTTTATTTTTCAGAGTAAAAAATCTAAATTAAAGATCAAAAAATAATATGCATCATTCCTTATCGATTTTAATTTAATATTTATTTCTATAAACTGAGAATAAAAACTAGCTGAAATGAGAAAGAATTTTCAATTTCGATTTTATACATAGATACATACATACATACCCATACGTAAATAAGGATATGTGTGTATGTATTGTATAGCGAAAAGGTGTCGCCAAAATGAAACAGCTTCGCATTTCCTCGTTCTCACGAAAAAAAATTCTGAACGAAAGCAAACGAAGAGATTTTCCATTGGACAATCGAATCGACAACGAGTGTGCGAACGATCGATCGAATGTGTTTTCTTCGTACCGTAAAAATGCAAACGGTAAAGTAGGGAGTGAAAGGAAGAAAAAAGAAAAGGAGGGAGGATGATAATAGTAATACTGATAGTAGCATTGGTGATGGTGGTAATAGAAGTAGTAGTAGCGTATCCAATCCAAGAGAATTTTCTTCCATTGAAATTTTCAAGGAGGAGGAGGAGGAGAAGGAAAGAGGACTAGGAGGATTGCAACGATCGAACTTTTCGTCATTTATAAAGAAAGAAACCACGACGTTCTTGAGGATTTTCTTTTTCATACAAAATTAACAATGTAAAGAAGTTATAATAGTATGCGTAAGTATATAAAACATTATATTATATTCAACGATCGATAATTAAATAGAATCATTAAACAAACAACAAACAATAAACAAGTGAAAGTCCGATCGATATATTGTACACAATAAATTTAAACAATCTTAATATTAGTAAAATACAACATTAAAATGTTAGATGTACCATAAATGATTGTTAATTAATCGAAAGAAATTTATATTGTAATCTAGAAACACAGAATGTAAACTTAGTATTCCGTTCTCTTCGAAATCCACTGTTAGACTGTTTCATTGTTCCCTATAAAAGTCGATTAAATTTCTTTTGTTAATTCTTGTTTACATGACGTTTAAACGGTTGCGCATGTGTATAACTGAAATAATATTCCTAATAAATCGAATCTCTTTCTTCAGAACATCATATAAATGCCATCTATCGATAAAAAGATATTAAATATACATTTGTTTAAATATTATATATCTATTAACATACTCCAAATCATAAAACAATTTCGATCTTTTTTATTAGATAAAAATTTCTAAATCAATGTCGTCACCGGACTGGAACGTTAAAAAAAATATATTTTATTTTAAACAATCAAAAATGTTAATAAAGTACATTAGAATGTTTGATGGATTTTAAATGATTATTAATTAATCGAAAAAAACGTAAATTGTAGTTAAAAAACACGGAGTATAAGTAGGAACTACCTTCCTCTTCGAAATCCACTATTAGACTGGCTAATTGTCATCTATGAAAGTCGATCAAATTACTTTTATTGATTTTTGTTTATATGACTTTCGAAAGAAATAACAATAATAGACTACGAATTTTCGTATGTAGTATATATTTTGCATAATCTGCTGTAAGTTTTATATATTTCTATGCATTCTTACTGCAGAACAATCAACAAAAAATATATTAATTGACATTCATAGAAGAAAATGAGCCATCGATTTCAAAGAGAATTGTACACTTTCGACTAATACTCCATCCTATTGGACTTTAATATACATTTCCTTCGATTAATTATCAATCACTTAAGATATATTAGACATTCTAATGTACTCGACTAATATTTAAGATTATTAAAACTAAAATACATTCGTTTTAACGTTCCTGCCTTAACTATAAGTTAATATTTTCATCTAATAAAATACCAACATGTACGAAAGTACAAACATTTTCTGTACATTACTTTTGTATTAATTTAATTAATACTTTCAAGTTAAACTCATTAAATATCTAATAAAAAAATATATTCATGTATCTCTTTCTAAATTGTCATCATTCTAATCACATTATATCAATAATTTTTAAATAAAAATGTAATAAACGTAATACGGCATACAATTTTAAAGGACACTTACTGCACATACATATAAAATTGATCGAAAACGTGTGTTCGATCGTTCGAACGATCTCTAACGCGTAGGCGGCGTACTGCGACAACCAACGATTAGGTATAGAAGCGGAAAGGGAGAGGAGGGAGGGAGGGGTGGCTAAAGAGGAACGAAGGGAGAAGGTATAAGAAAGAGAAAGAGAAGGTAGTGGTGAAGGGGGTAAAGAGGGAGAAGGGGGAGGACGCGTGCCGTACGTGCAGTGTTCCTGGCGTGGCCGCGATTCGTTCTCCTCCAGCTGTTGTCGTGCACGCAAGAGAGAGAGAAAGGGTTACTCTGATTGTTAGACGAAGAACACGACAGAAGGCTAACGACGACACGACCAACAACCACGAGGAGTCAAACGGATAGAAGAGAAAGAAAGAAAGAAATAAAGAGAGAGAGAGAAAGAGAGAAACACGCTTACGCATTTACTATACACGTGTGTCCTAAACGTGTATCCACACATGTACATATGTGTTGCCATAACGACGTTTGGTTTATTCACCGGCCGCGTCAACGACCGAGCCTAACGTACGCGAGGGACTCAAATCGCGTAAACAATCGACAATCTTACTCTATTTACTGCATATACATATATGTGTATATGTATATATGCGTGTGTAGATGGTACATGCAACTGAACACACACAACGTATGCAGCAACCACGCTTCTTCTATTCGCGCGCACTTCTTCTCTCTCTCTCTCTCTTTCTCTCGCACCACGCTACATTCCCACTCACACTTGATCACTTACTCTCGTTTCTGATCAAAGTACACATATATATGCATTTATATAGAGACACGTGTTAAATGATTCAAATATATGTATTTATATTCTATCTGGATCTATGTATATGTGTGTGTATGGGGAATCAACCACTTGTCGAGTAACGATAGATAATATACATATTAATAATCACGTTGTATATTTGTATTGATGCAAGAGGATTCTATTTTAATTCAAAGAATATAGAAGTTTTTCAATGAAAAACAAATGCAAGTTAAAGGAAATATGCGAGTGTGTTTTTAAGAAAAGAGGTTAGGCTTGATCAGAGATGCTTTTTTGTTTCTGACGCAATTCATTCATTCATTCATTATTTTTTGTTTTGAAAATACAAATTGCATGAATGAAGAATAAAATGCATCGAAAAAATGAGGTTATGTTTGGGAAGGATTTTCTAAACAATGCATATTCCAAGTTAAAAGTCGCGTTTGAGTGCGTGCGTGCACGAGAGCGAGGGGGAGAGAGAGAGAGAGAGAGAAAGAAATATATATATAGAGAGAGAGAGAGGGAGAAAGAGAGAGACAGACACTCACTTGCACTTTCTTCGTATTATTTTGTAGACGTCTGGCCGCGTGGTCAAAGAAATCCCACCGTCACTGACACATTCTCAACGCACTTATCACTCTTTGTTTTTACGTAATACGCGTTGCCGTTTAAAAAAGTCGTGGAAAATGTATAAAAAAGAGGATTGTTAGGAAAGTAACAAGAATGTCGCCATGGCGGTGCCAGGCTCCAGCCGGCCATGTTGTGGACCTGCGTACGTCGCGTCATCACGCGGCTATTTCCCGACGCCACGCGCTGATTGGTCCCTCGCTCGATGCTTAT